TTAATTTTTTTTCTAATGTTTTATTTCATCTATAACATATAATTATATTACTAAATTGTTATTATTATTTTATTATCATTATTATTATGATTTTGCCACCCTCCCACCTTACATTCTAGAGGGAAATTCAGTATAGAGGAAATATTTCCTTTCAGAATAGAGCATGTATTGTGCAAGCAGCAACCCTAAAAAGAATTAAGTCCTGCCATATGAATGAGAAACCTGTAACATATATAAACTAGGTGTTATTCCAATCTGGCTGCAAAAGTGGAAATACACTTTAAGGGGAGACATAGAGACATAGACATAGAGAGACATAGCACAGGGTCTGTGTAGGGAAGTGTTGCCACCCTTGGTTATACAGTACTGCAGGAAGAGGGGAAGAGGATTTCTCCACAGCAGGGGTGGGCAACCTCGGCATTGGACAGATCCATTCAGTACAGAGGCTTTGATCTAGGAGCTGTCCAGGTTCTGAAAGTCTTCCTTCTATGCCAGGGGTGAACAATCTCGGTACCCCAGCTTTAGGGAAACGACAAATTCCATCATGCATCTGCCTCTGGGAGTCATGCCTGTGGGTGTCAGAGTCTTGCCATGCCTCCTGGGGCTTGTAGTTGTACAACAGCTGGAGTGCTAAGTATTGTCTACCCCTGCTCTACAGTCTACACAATTTTTCGTCAAGTAGTATAGACGCGGACGTGTCCTTTAAGTCCTTCTCTTCTTGCTCTCCTATCCCCCGGTACAGTAGGCTGAGAGTGACTAAGTGGACAGTTAATGATGCATTAATTCTATTTAAGTGAGTAGAAGGCAATCCATAATTGTGTGTTAATCTGCTTCTCTTGGTTTCTTTCTCGTGTCAATATCTTTCCTTGTATCTCTCCCCAGGGTTGCCTGGCAGCTTTTTGAGGACAGGACAAGCTGGCCGAGATATTGACGCCTTTATATCTCCGCTACAGCGATAGTCCCATTAGATCTGTCACTTACAAAGCGAGACCGTCCGCGGAACGTTGGGTCACATCTGTCACAGCGCTGGGGATAGAAGAAAAAAAAGAACACACACACTGCCCGCAGCACCCTATCACGCGCGGGCCCTCGCCATCCGACGGGCCATTTCTCAGTGCGGCCTTGCCTGCTATAGGGCAATATGCAAATGTCTTTCTTTGGGCACTTATGCATTGGATGGAGTGGGGAAGGGTTAGAACCTTGCTGATGTTTTTAGTGCTGTATGTGTGGCCAATGGGGAGATTTCACATCACTTCCTGTCCCAGGATTACCAGTGTGTCAGAATAAAGCAAGCTGTGTAACTATCTGAATGTGGCTTGGTATCAGCCTCTTGCAGTCCCTGTACAGGAGAGCTCAAACTGGGACAGGGATAGGCAGCACAAGGCCTGCATCCAGCCTGTTGCTGAACAGTAAAAGAAGAAGAAGCAGCAGACTGATGAGCTCATCTCTCTGATCATGCAGGGATCATCTGCTACCATGGAGCATGCTGATAGCTGAGTGACAGAGAGATGAGCTCATCAGTCTGCTGCTTCTTCTTTTACTGTTCAGCAACAGGCTGGATCAGAACAAGACCTGTACCAGTTACTTAACTGCAGCAGAGGAAATCAGGTCTCCTGCCATGCCTGGGCTGTGTGATATGGGAGAGCTGATTGGACAGGAATACAAATCCTTTTGCAGGTAAAGCACCTCCCGTATATATATTTAGCTGTTTGCCTGAAGTTTGGCTTTTAAACAAAGTCGGTTTACAGAGGTCAATAGCTCAAGTTGATATTTACACATGCAAATGAAGGAGTTAGAGCTGTGACTCATCCCTTATAGCAGGGGTGGGCAACTCTGGCCCTCCAGCTGTTGCGGGACTACAAGTCCCATGAGGCATTGTAAGACTGAAAATTACAGGGATGACTCCCAGAGGCAGAGGCATGTTGGGGTTTGTAATTAAAGCACAGATTGAGGGCCAGAGTTGCCCACCCCTGCCTTATAGGGATGCTCTGTTCATGTTCTCATTCAGGCAAAGCCAACCACAAAGCAGGAAGCTACTGCTGTGCTGTCTCTTTAGCTAACCCAACGTGCTCTTGGAATCCTTTGTCATGTTTATTTGAAAAACAAAGACAGAATTCACATAGTAAAAACATTTATGAAAAGAGTATAAAAATGTAAAAAGGTGTAATAACATTGCTATTTAATCCCCATTACAAAAAAAAAAAGACCTTATATGATGTCTCCCCACAGACTGGAGAGTTAGGGGGAGGTTGCACAGTATAGAATCATGTGACAAAAATGCCTGTTGCAAGGTATTTTATGTTCCCTTTAGTACCTCAGCGCCCGGCTCAGCTTGTCGTAGTTCATGTGCGGCTTGCACTTGCGGATGCCCCACAGCCGCGCCACCTCGTCGGGGTCCTTGATGACAAACTCTCCGTAGTCGCCTTGCCAGGCGATGACATCGTGGTACTCCTCTTTCTGAAGAAGCTCGAGAATGAAGTGCCAGAGCTGGATCTGTCTGGAACCCGGGCTGGACTCCGGCTTATAGGCCCAATCAGGAAAGGCGAACCCTGCAAATGGAAGGAAGCCGATTGGAGCAATGTTAACAGGAAACTCCACTTTTACCCCTTGCAAACAAAATTCACAGGTGTTCATCTATTCCACCTTCTTATAGATCTTATCTCAGAATTATCTCATTTCGTCTTTCAACCTGAAATGTTCTCATATAGTCCAGGATCTGTGTATGGGAGTCCTCACATGACATCACTGGAAGACTCTGGCTGTAATAATGTTATATGGTGATATCTCTATTATCTAAGCCGGGCACAGGGCTCTTAATTGCCCCCTCCTTCTATACACGGACAATACAACCCGGCTACATTGCGGTTTTGCCATATTTCCATTTCCCACTGCGTGCTATATTCCCAGAAGAGTTTGAGCATTCCGCTACTAATACAGTCATTGCTAGAATAGTGACCCCCCCTATCATCTCTGTGCCCTAGACAACTAGCCTGCAGGGTCACACCTCGGATATAGGGTATATACTTGACACTGGATAGATATAGTACAGTAAATACCGTATAAACCCCTGATATATACTAAGTACACTGGATATATTCCACATATAAACCCCTGATATATACTATATACACAGCACTGGATATATTCTACATAGAAATCCCTGATATATACTATATACATAGCATTGGATATACAGTATAATATGTATAGATCCCTGATATATACTATATACACAGCACTGGATATAGTCCACATACAAACCCCTGATATATATACTAAGTACACAGCACTGGATACACAGTATATATGCCTCATAATTCTATAATTAAATCTTATATTCAAGTTTTTAAACAGTAATAAAGTTTGCATATCTTTCTTAGCTCTGCACTCTAATGAAAATAATTATAACAAAATAAAGCCAAGCCAGCAAGGAAACGAATGTTAATAATAATAATAATATCATTGTTATCATTATTTTTATTATCAGTATTTGATGTGTTCTCGCTGTCCTCTCTTCTACAGCAATCCCTTCACCTCTGTCCTCAGTATAATTCAGTTTTCCATCTCCCCTTTTCTCTAATTTTCCCATCTCTCGGCACATCCATCTCATGTGATACCGGTGACCCCTCTGGATTGCCTCTTTATTCAATTTCCATCCTCCCCCAGCATTACATTCCAGCAGGGTAACCCAACTCCCCGGTGCCTGGCCGCTATGAGCGCTTCACCCGGAGAGCAGAGGAGGCGGAATCCCTCCATCCTTCTCTTCTGGGCTGAAAGGGACACAATCTCTCCTGGATTTCCTATTGTATATTATTATTGAGTATGACAGAAAACAAAACACTTTCATTCTACACAACAGAGGAATAAATGAGCAACACAAATATTTCATCCTGAACAAGTGACAGTGATGTTTAGAATTTTTTGTTAGAAGAAGAAAACTCAGATGTGATATTATTATTATTATTATTATTATTGTGTGTATTTCAATGTAACTTATTTTGTTATACACTGTACTTATTTTTAGGTCATAGTTATTATTGTTGTTATATATGTATTTTGTTTTTAAGCTTTGTTTATAAATCTACAATCGTCAAGGTTATTCATTAGCTTGCTGGTCCCCTAGGTATGAAAACAAAATGTTTAAACCTTTTTGTAGTTGGACATTTACAATATGTACTATTGGAAAGTGGTTCAATCACAGAACATGGCTAGAGTGCGTATAAATTATTCACTGGTACAAATGATTGAGCCTATTGCAAAGTTTGTGAACTTTATTTGATGCAAGGATAAGAAAGAGCTAGGAAAGGGGATAATGAGGTAGGATTGTGCTGAGGGGGAACTCTGGTAGGATGGGGCCGGGTGGGTAGAAGGAAAGATGTTGAGGGCAATATGGTGCTAAACGTATATGAATGTAGAATGGTGCTGAGGGGCAATTAGGACAGAATGGGGTGGGATATAGAGGCTGGGTAAAATGGGGATGGTATGGTGCTGGGGGATGGTGTATGGAGATGGGATGCTGCTGATATAGCTTATGAGGGTAGCAATGGTACTGGGGGTATGGGGGTAGGATGATGCTGGGGAGTATGGTGATAAATTGGCACTTGGGGGACTTTAGGGTGGACTGGTGCTCAATGGTATGGGTGAGAGTTTGTTTTGGATGATATGGGGGAGGAGTTGTTCTGGGGATGTGCTTCTAAAGAATCTGCTTGGACAGCAAGACGTGTAGATTTTTTGGATATTGCCCATAATTTTTGGATGGTGCTGGAGGTTATATGGGGCTGGGGGATATTAGGGGGGTAGAATGTTACTACAGGGGTATGATGGTAGACTGGTATTGGGGTATGGGTTGTTGTTAGGTGGTTAGGGGTTGTGCTAGAGGTATGAGAAGTAGGGTGGTGCTGGGAGTATAAGAGTAAGTTGTTACTTGGGGGGGATAAGGGGTTGGAATGGTGATATGGGACTATAGGGCAGAGGTGGGGCTTAAGTATATGGTAGTAGGATGGTGCTGGGGGTTAGATGGGGCTGGGGATAATAGGGGGGCAGAATGTTACTAGAGGGGTATGATGGTAAACTGGTGTTGGAGTATGGGTTGTTGTTAGGTGGTTTGGCTGCTGGGGGGTATAGGGGTAAATGTTACTTGGGGGGATAAGGGATTGGAATAGTGATATGGGACTATAGGCACAGGTGGGGCTTAAGTATATAGTAGTAGGATGATGCTGGGGGTTATATAGGGCTGGGGAATAATAGGGGGGTAGAATGTTACTAGAGAGGTATTATGGTAGACTGGTGTTGGGGTATGGGTTGTTAGGTGGTTTGGGGTAGTGCTAGAGGTATAAAAAGTAGGGTGCTGCTGGGGGGTATGGGGGTAAGTTGTTATTTGGGGCTAAGCAGCTGGAAAGGTGATAAGGGACTATAGGACAGGTAGGGCTTGGGTAAATGGTAGTAGGATGATTCTGGGGGTTATGGGGGTAAGATGAGTCTGGGGGGGATACAGATAGTCTGAGGGAATGACTGCGATTTTGTGTCTTTTTGCTGATGTATTGGCAACTTATAACTCATCTTTTGAGACTGCTAAAGTTTAGGCAACATGTGACTGTCCAGGTGTTGCTTAGTAAGGTAGACTACAGTCCCACAGTCACCCAAGCTCCATCAAGGACCAGCATTCCCCATCCGCTCTTTCCTGTGTTTATTCTACTCATCCCCTCCCTCACTTTCTCTCTCTCCTCTTCATAATCTATACCTGTATCTTTAGCATTGTCTAATGTCTCACGCTATGGCTGTTTCTACTTCTCTCTCCTGTAAGGAAGCACTCTGTTATGAAACACTTTATTTGACCTATTCTTTGTAAGACTGACCCTTTCTCTGGGTTCTTCTTCTGTATTCTAGTGGTTGTATCAAATAGCTGCTCTCTCCACCTGTTTCAGAGGTTTACTCTGCTAATAACCATCACTCCTCCATCCTTTTAAAGCGTTTAACTACTTCCTCTGTAATTAACTACCTACTTCTTCCTTTGTCATGTTTGGTCTTTCTCCTCCCTTCTTCTGCCCCCACCCCTTAATCCTCTTTCCTGCTGACCCTTTCACCCAACTCCACTTTTCCATTTCTCTTATTCTTTTCTCCTGGACCCTGCCGACCCTCCCTCTTCATCTCGCCTTGTGACCGTCTTTACATTCCTCTCTCCTTCGGTTCTCATCCTTCTTATCTCTGAGTACCTCTTTCTTCTTTTTCTTTCTCTAACTTACCATCTTTTCTTTCTCTCGATTCTCTTCTCCTCCTGTTCTGATTCTCTTAAGTTATTTATCCACCTAACCTCATCTTCTTCCTTTATTCTACTGCTCCCTTTTCCTTTTTTTCTGATGACCTTATATCTCCTAGCCCAATCTACTTTCCCACTTCTACTGATCCATCTCTTTCTTTCTCCTGCTGCTCCATCTCCTCTTTTTACCAACCCTGTTCCTAATTTCTAAGTACCCATTTCCTGCCTCACGTCCTCCTAATCCCATCTCCTTCTCCTCCTCTGCTGTCCCATCTCTCTCCTTTTCCTGCTGACCTCATCTCTCATAACCCATTTCTTTCCTCTCTTCTATTGACCCACCTGTCTCCAACTGCCCTATTGCCTCGTTTTTTTTTTTTTACTGACTTAATCTCTTAACCTTCTTTCTCTCCCTTGCTCATCCCATCTCCTTCCTCTCCTACTGTCCCATATCTATTCTTTTCCCCTTTACATCTCCTTTGTTTCTCCAACTGTCCCATCACCTTCATCTTTTCTCTTAATTCCATCTCCTTCCTCTTGCCTACTCCCCATATACCCCCTCTTTCCCACTTATCGCCTTCCTCTCTCCTACTGTGCCATATCTATTCTTTTCCCCTTTACATCTCCTTCGTCTCTCCAACTGTCCCATCACCTTCATCTTTCCTCTTAACTCCATCTCTTTCCTCTTGCCTACTCCCCATATCCCTCCTCTTTTCCACTCATCTCATCTCCTTCCTTTCTCACGCTGACCATCTCTCCGTTTCCTTCTTTTCTGGTTCCTCCTCAATTCGGCCACTCCTCCTTTGAAGTTTACTACTGACTTTTTTATCCTTCTTTTCTCTCCCCCGAACTTCCATCTAAGCCTCCTTTCCATAATAAACCTTCTATTAGCCATTTTATTTTCTAATAGATAACACAAATCACTT